TTTATAGGGCCTTGTATGGAGCAGGTAAATGTCATGCAGAGGCTCATGTGCTGAAAGTCTGTACCATAGCAGGGAGCTATTGGAAGTGTGGGGCCCAGTGAGAGGTGCGGCTAGCTGGAAATCTCCCAGCCATTTGAGGACCTGTCCTTCACGAGTTACTGAGGCCCTGGCACATTTGTTTCCTCTCCTTGCTCCCTTCCCAGATACAACATGGTGAGCAGCTCCCTCGGCCATGTGCAGCCGCCCTGCTGGGACACCTTGAAAAGCCTAAAGAAGGGGTCAAATGATGATAGCTGAACCCCTAAAGCTGTGACCTGAAACAAACTTGCTGCTTCTAAAGAGTATCATCTCAGGGATTTTATGATAGCACTAAGAAGATGCTGGCAATAAAGACAGTAACACCAGGAGTCTTTTCTGATGTACAGATTCTATTTTTCTGGCCAGGGGGTTAATACTTCCATCAATTTCTTGATCACATTTGAGCACTGCAGAAAACACAATAAAAAAAGAATAAAAATGGAAAACTACTTCCTTGAATGAATTCTTTTTCTGGGGTGTTTTCAGTAATCCTGAAATCGAAATGACACTATTCAGCATATTTCTCATTATTCAACTCTTGGATCTTATTTCCAATCTTGTAATCTTATTGCAAACCATGTGAAGTTTCTGCATGTAGTTGCAGTAAATTAATTGTTATTGTTGTGCCGTATTTGTGCAAAAATATCGCTATCTTCTTTAATGTTGATAGTCATACAGTTAGTTGTCTTCCCTTTTCTCATTACTAATAATATTATTGTGAATATTCTTATGACTTTATTTGGGCAGACATATATTTATCTCTGTGAGAAACGGGTTAATAATATGCGAGTGTGTGTGTTTGTAATGTGCATGAGTGTTCACAATCAGTGTGTGAATCCTTTGTTTAAGATGTTCACAAATACTTAATCTTGTCCATCATGTTAGTATTAGATAGTGCATGTTTATTTCCCTGATAAGCCCTGGGGCTAGATATCCACTTTTAAAATAAAAATCAACTTTCATTTGTAGCTCTTTTCTATCTTAACAAATTAACACATTTCCTGGGCTGAGGTTTGGGTAAAGAAAAAAATTCACATTATTAATCTCAAAGTGCTAGTTTCCCACATAGAAGTACAATTACATATAAAATAAATACACAGAAGTAATTATTTAGGAAATACAGGCCCAGACTACAAGGGGCTGGTATGATTATGAAGGTAAATTTAGGTCCTGCCTAACAATGTTTAAACTCAAGAGAATTGTATTCCTTGGAGGCAGTGAATAACATGAGGGGAAAATTAATAGGTACCAAAAATACCTTCCCTATTTTTTGGACTAAAAGAATTGTTCATTCTTTCTAATATACGTCAGAGAAAAAGATATGGATAGTAAAGTTCCTGGGAGTGCAATTACATCAGTGTCTTTAGTTTAACCAGTGGAGAACATTACTATTACTTACTTTGGATCTGTCTCCAATAATTCCCCCTCTGGAAAAAAGTGATTCTTCTATCAGTGCTATCAGTCAAAGAATGACAATAAAACAGGAAAAGAAATTCCAGTGTATCACTAAAATATCTTTCCCTAAATAAATAATATTTTAATCATTTTATTTTGTTATTCCCTCATTATAGGGAAATCCTGCCCCTATCTGCTGTCAGGTCAGACTCAAGATAACAATGAGTTACAATATTGGTGTGCATACATTTCTTTATGTCTCTCAGTTGTTATAAATTTTATACATCAAATTATTCATTTAGTTGCTTTTCAATAAAAATTAAGGTAACTACATTAAGACAGGATATATGGGGTAGACAATTATCCATTAGATTCATTAAGAGTCTTAATGAATTTGCTAAACTCTCTTTATGTGGCCATCATTCACCTCATGAAACGTCCCGTAGAAGATGGGACACAGTGCCCAGAGGCTGCCCCATGGCTTCTGTGCCTCATGGCCTCATTGCACCAGGACATTTAGTTTCTATTTGATTCCTGGAATTCTGTGATAAGGCAGGACTTTCAAGACCAGTGCTAATAATATTGAAATGCCCCACTATGACAAATAAGACAGACTTTTATATCAACCTGGTAGCTATTTCTATTGCACTTTTTTGCACTCAAACTCTGCTGGGATATTGCCTTGGTATAGAGATGGGATTGGATGACCTCTTCAATTCCTTTAGAAATCCAAGACTCATTAATTTTTGTGAATTTAACATAAATACACTATAATATTCCATGAGACTTCACAAGAGATTGCTTTTCAAAAAGAGATATTACACATTTTTTCTTACAGCATTGTAGTGAGAAACCCGATGAAAACAAGTGTTTTGGGTTAGACAGATATTATGCCTATGGAATTCCTGATGTGCACTGATTACATATGGATCTCTTTTGATATCTGTATAATGAAGTTGTTAGAGATGGAAACACATTATAACATGGGAACTACATGATATAGAAAGATAAGTTAAATAATATAAGATAATTGTGTGGACATTTATTAAGATATGTACAACAGTATACATTTAAACTCATCACATTTTCCCTTACAACAAAAGTATTGCTAGAAAAACACACAGAAGCAGGAATTCAGATATTTGGCAGTCAGAAATACATAAATGAAGCATTTAGTGCTCAATCATTCCTAATGAATAAGTCTACCCAGGTTAGTAAGTAAAGTAAGAGATTCATATGGGGGGTGCCTTTGGAACATTATATTGGTAGTTATAGGGGATACATTATGTAGCACGCAAAATTAACATGTCAATTACCTGCCAATTATCAAACATTATTGTAAATAACAGACCAACAAAGTAGCTAGAAAACATAAATGAAGGTTGGCTATTTCTTTAAATCAGTATTCTAACATATTTCTTCAGGCCTTTTATTTCTACATTTGCACTGTACAATGATCAATTTCCCCCTTGTATTTATGAACTGCCAGTAAAAATCGGTCTAAACATAAGTTACTTCTACTCTTTGCTGGACATTCACAAACTTAACTAACTGAATATATTTAACCACTATTTCTGAGGCAAATCTGTAAGCTACTGACTGTTGAAAAATAAAACCAAATTTGATCAGATAAAAAAAAACCGTTAAAGAGAGCCTTCTAGGGGTAGTGAAGATTGTACAGCAATGAAGCAACTGAAATGAAAGTGGTCAGTGTGGACTTGGGGGAGAAATTAGATAATGATTAATGACAGTACCTGTATCTAGGATAAATCACATCTAGATTGGAGTGCAGGAGACTGTTTTAGTAATGGGAGGGTCAGGATAGACAATGAAAGGACATGGAAATTGTTAAGTACAGGACGTATTTCAGTTTCATTTGATGTGCAATTTCACTCATAGAAGGCATGAATTTATGATACCTTGAATCATAGTGTCAAAAAAACTAGAGTTCCAGATATCAATTTCTTGATGAGGGTAAAGAAATAAAAGTTCAGCCCTATGAATATTATTGCAGGAGTCCCAGAGGAAAATATTGGACCCGATCCGGGAATTCAATTAATTATGTTGGAATAGCACAAAAGAACCAAAGGAAAGGCTGAATGATTTAAGTCCCAGTAGTGATAGGTGAAAATAAATATGACCTGCATACTGTTCAGGCACAAGAGAAAGGGACAGGAGGCTTTCTCATACCAGGTGAGTTTACGAATGGCCATGTTTAAACAACACAGGAAAATTAGAACTCTGCTTTCTTTCCCAAGTGGAGAAATCAAGTCACAAGGAATGTATATTTGAATGATTTTATAGCTGATTACTCAGTAAAATAAACTTTATTCTAATGGCTGTACTGTGATATATTCTTGCTAGACCTGTGTGAATGTGACCAATTTCATTTTTCATTCGTATAGGAATTGTAAAGTTTTTACTTAATCATATTTAATCCAGATTTATAGTAGTCCACTCCTTGTAAAAGTCACTCCACAAGTTATGTGACACATGCAAATTTAAATTTTTTCTAGTTTTATATAAATAATGGGAGTTAACATGCAAAACATACACATTTTTGCAAATTCAAGTCCTTACCATAATAATAATATCTAAAAGAAATAAAGACTACTCCTCCTCTTCCAATTTTTATGTATAAGAATATATACTGGAAACTTCAACCACACATGTACATAAATAATAATATAAACATAAGAAATAGAAGCTTGTATATGTAAGAATTTTACTATCTCTGTCCCATTTTCTTTTTAATGAAAAAGTCAAATTAAAAGCCAATATTAAGCCAGTTTAATTATAAATTGCTCTCCCCACTTGTTATTATAGTATCTTTTTCCCTTTTCAATGGATTTGTTTGCAGAGTTGGACGAAATAGAAAAAGGAGTGATATAAGCCATAGAAATCCAGTGACAGTGTTTGACAAAACAGTTAAAAAATGGTTTTATTTTTTATGAAATCTGGTCAAAAAACCACAACATAAAATCTTTTATTTTATATGTAATATCATCAGCTGCAATGAACTAGACAATACTTCTTGAACAATATAATAATTATTATTCTTTTGTCCAGCATATGGGATATGTAGTCTTGTGTCTTTTTGTTGGTCTTGCTACCTCTGCATTTTTCTATCACTTTGAATCTAGGATCTGAGTTTGAATTCATGTCAATTCTTACTTGGAAAGTGCTAGCACAGAGCAAGTCACACGTTTCAACAAATGTAATTAAATGTATAATCAAGGTTGATCAGCTTCTTAAGATAGAGACTTTTTGCTTTTCTTTTTTTAGCTTGATGAAATCTCATTTTTACTGCATTTTTAGTTGATTTGGTGCATGTTTGCAGTACAGTCTTAGGAGGGATTTGGTATGTGTATGTAACAATCTAAATTCTACACTTCCCCTCCCCTCCCCTCTCCTCTCTCCATCTCTTTATCCTCTTCGCAGTTGATCAAGATCTACCTCCCTACCTCCTGCTATCTAGCTAGTATTTTGCTCTTTAATTATATTTAGGGTTTCTGTTAGGGGAAATCATGCAATATTTAAGCTGGTTTTATTTTTATTTACTTCACTTAACACTATGGTCTAAATGTACATCCATTTTCCATGTTCTTTATTCTATAAGGCAGACTAAGAGTTTCACAGTGGCACATTCCTTGGATGTTTATTACTGAAAGAAACTAGTTTTTAGAAATGAAGCATGTTGTGCCTCAATCACATGGATGTGTAGAAAACTCAGTAGTTAATCTATCTTCACCCTGTTGATTTTTCCAGCGGTTTCTAATAAGAACAAAGAAGAATGAACAGTGGAAATTGTTCATCATTACCAGAATTCTTTCTCGTGGGAATTACCAATAATTCTGAAATGAAAGCAGTTCTATTTTTGTCACTTCTAGTAGTTTATCTCATTATTCTCCTGACTAATCTCGGAATGATCATTTTAATCAGAGTGGATTCCCGGCTGCACACGCCCATGTATGTTTTCCTCAGCCACCTGTCGTTCTCCGACCTCTGCTACTCCAATGCAGTTGGCCCCAAGATGCTGGTGGACCTGCTTGCTGAGAACAGATCAATTCCCTTCATTGGCTGCGCTCTGCAATTCTTCATCTTTTGTGCTTTTACAGACGCTGAGTGTGTGCTGCTGGCGGTGATGGCCTTTGACAGGTACAAGGCCATCAGCAGTCCCCTGCTGTACACAGCCCACATGTCCAGCAGGCTCTGCGCCCAGCTCCTGGCTGGGGTTTACCTGGTGGGCCTGGCAGATGCTCTGGTACACACCACATTGACATTCCGCCTGTGTTTCTGTGGGTCTAACGAGATTAATCATTTCTTCTGTGATATTCCTCCTCTCCTCTTAATATCTTGTTCAGATACTCAGGTCAATGAGCTAGTCATTTTCACTATTTTTGGTTTCATAGAACTGAGCACCATCTCCGGAGTCCTGGTCTCCTATTGCTATATCATCTTGTCAGTCATAAAGATCCACTCTGCTGAGGGGAGGCTCAAAGCTTTCTCCACCTGCGCCTCCCACCTCACTGCAGTTGCCATTTTCCAGGGAACCATGCTCTTCACATACTTCCGTCCCAGTTCTTCTTACTCCCTCGATCAGGACAAAATGACCTCACTGTTTTACACCCTGGTGATTCCCACCCTGAACCCTCTGATTTATAGTCTAAGGAATAAGGATGTGAAAGAGAGCCTGCAGAAGCTGAGAAACAAAAAGTGGTTTTAAATAATTGTATTATATCTATGTGTGACCCATATAATGGTGGTTTTGAAAAATGATCTGGCCTGCTACAGAGCAAAATGTTCTACATACGCAGTGAAATTCACTGAGGTGGGCCTTTGTACTGATACCTAATTATAAGAAAATGTTGCAGATTTCCAAACTTGTCATGCTTCATTCTTCTTTGAATTAATTTATGGAATGTTTTCTAGATTCTCTCAATTGTGCCATTTTTCATTCTCTTTCGTTTTTCTAATTTAACTTAGTTTAGAGTCAGGTGTGTCAAGGTTTTACTCATTGTCTTTTTGTGCTGTGTGTTAGATGCCTTTCCAGTTTTATATTACAGGAGCATCTTATGTTTTAGTGGGAAGGAACAGACTTTCCCTAAACTGAACACTCAAGTAATCCACAGAAAGGCTCTAAACAATACTGAAATAAAGAGAATGTTGGTCAAGATCAGAGAAAAATGTACAAATCCAGCATTCCGGAGAGAGACTTCCATGGATGGAAATATTCAGTCAGTCTCAGAACTAAAAATTATCATTTTGGGGAAAAAAACCATGGATTTTAGGCAGATGGTTGGACAGTTAGAGAAAGCATGAGCCGCACTGCTTCATGATGTCTGGAAACCAAAGAAATTCGATGAAGTTACCATATAAAAATAGTTCATTTTTGTTTAAAATTATCTTTATTGTACATGTTTACAGTACATAAAGACTACTCATCATGAGGAGTTGGTATATATAACACATCTTAATCTACTTTTTTACAGTTCTTTGAATTTTATTTATTTTTAATTGCATTAGTACATGTGTGCAATACATAATGGATACATTCATTGTGGGGAGTTGGTACATATGTACAAAGCATCTCAATTCTTTTTCAGCTTCCCCTCTACCCCTCCTTTTGCCAGCATCAGATTCCTTTATTTATCTTGTGTCTCCTGATAGAATTAATTATCACACACATGGCAATTAAAAAGCCCAGATAAAGCACATCTGAGTTCTGATATTGTGGACATCATTATCTCTATTTCTTTCTGGTTTATTATTTTTTCTTTCCCATTCTTGTCCTGGTTAAATGCTTCTCTTCACTGTTCACCACCATGGCCCTAACTCAGTATTTAATTTAATGTTACATTTTTCTTAAATCATTTTCTTATATGAGCATGTAAGCTCCACCACCTGGACTGAGCATTTAAGCTCTGTTATACAAAAATACATTTCATACCTGGGGAAAAATGAGAAAAAATAAAACCAAAGATAATGAGTTTTGAGCGCTTATCATATGTTGATAACACAAAACTGACTGAGAGTGTGATATGTGATGAACATGCACAAAACTCTGCCCATACCTGCACTTTACCATTACCTTCAAGAAATTATATAAGATGCCTGTGTATAAAAGGTAACAAATATACAAAGATGTGCGTATTAATTTCAGGAGAATACACACCATCCATCCATGTATGGCCTTGATAGTTTCCTTCTTCATCTTTCTCTGGACTCCTTTTCTGATGAGTCAAGCACCAAATGAGCTTCTTGGGAAAACACATATTTTCCATATATTTGAACTCCTGCAGAAGAGCATATAAATATCCATTACCATCATAGAAACTGATACCAGTCCTAGCTGTCAGTGTAACATATCCCAGTCTGTAAAACATTTCAGAATACAAGTATAGCCCCAGCAAGCCTAGTGTGGTGGTGCACACCTATAATCCCAGCCACACTGTGAGGCTGAAGCAGGAGGATTGCAATATGGGCTCAGTCTGAACAATATAGGGACCTGGTGAGAAGCCCTCTCTAAATAAATGAATGCACAAATAAATGAATAAGTGCTAGGGATATAGCTTACTGTGAAGGCAGACTTCAATCCACAGTACAAAAATCAAAAAGAGAGAGAGAGAGAGAGAATCATGTTAGAAGGCACGACAATATCATGTTAGAAGGCAGCAATACAGAAAATAAAATATGAAGAATTCTTGTTTTAGGTTAAATGATGTATGAGTTTCCACCTATAATATTTTTAAAAATTTTCCAAATGTGTGTGATGAGCACTGCTATGGTCCCCTCTTTTACACTGAGATTTTAACTCCTCAAATAATTTAGGAAGAAATTCTTTGAGGAGGTGGTAAATTAATAAGGTAAAACTTTCAGGCATGGGAGTAGTGCAGTTATAATGCTGGAGACCTCCCTGCCCCTTCTGCAGTGCAAAGACAGTAAAAATCCAGCTATCTGTGAACAATACAATAGACTCCCGCAGACACTAAATCTGGTGACAAAATGTATAGTACAAATGAATTGGTTTACTCAATAGTGCAGTTGTATCTACTGCCCACCCCAAGCCAGAATGCAAACTTCTGTTAGTCTGCAGAGGGCCAATTGTATCTTATATGCCACTACTGCCAATGCCTCTTTCCAAAGCTGCATGCTTCTCTCACTCACAACTTTGCTGAGCCCACAAGTTCACCCTATCCAAAATTAGTTAAAAACAAGTGACACTTGAAAGCTACTTTGAAAGTGAGAAAGACACAATGATGAAACTGAAGACTCTAAGGGGAAAAGTTTCATTCAAAGAAAATACCAGATCTTCTGCTTAAATTACTTGTTCATTGCAACAGGTGACTGACATTTTGCAAGCCTACTTTGTATAACGTGTGCCAATTCGCTGTCCAAGACGGCCATCACATGTTCAAAATGGCATTTGCCACATGGAGACCAAGCACACTGCATGAAAAGACAAGCCTTTGGAGTTTTTCAAAAGCAAAAAGTTAAACAAAATGCAGACACAATGCTCTGAAGCAATTATTGAAGGCCACCACTTCCTCAAAGGTGGCCAAACTGAGAGTACCATTCTTGGTTGCTAATCACATTTCTAAAACTAAGAACCCATTACTACTGGTGAAGAGTTAGCCCTGCGTGCTACTGAGGATGTTTGTTGTGAACTTTTAGAAAAGGCTGCAGTTCAACACATTGCATGTTTTCCTCTTACAGCTACCACAATAAGAAGACAAGTTGATATGAGGGATATTGTAGCAAAATTGCTAGAGAAGAACCAAGAATCACTGTAGTTGTGTTTGTGTGTGTGTGATAATTTTTCACGAGGATGTGTGTGAGGATATACACGTTCTTTCCCTGCCAACCAACACCACAGCTACAGAGCTACTTAAGTCTTTGAATGATTACATGTCAGTAAAACTGATTTGATCGTGCTGTACATGTGTTTGCCTGGAAGTAGGGGCTGCCATGGGAGGGCAGCTTTCTGGTTCACTGCTCAGGTCACAGAGGAAGTTTCTGCATGAGTCTACACTAACTCATCCCCAGAGAGAACCTGGCTGGCTGAAAAATGTTACATGAAGTTAACAATATAGTACAGGATGTGATTAAAATTACCAACCACATTAGAATCCAATCATTCCTGTGAGGAGATGAAGGCAGAAAAGCACATCTTATATACAGAAATGAGAAAGATTTTAAAACGACACCACTAGCCAGAATTATGAGAGGCAACCCAGAGATATTTTTTGGAAAAGCAGTCACCACTGGTAGCACATTTCAGGGACACAGAAAGGTTCCCAGAATTTTCTCATTCATGAGAAGTTTAGCCAGCTCAGTGGATGCAATCTGTCACAGCAGTGGAGAATGACACTGAGTTCAAGTTGGAAGACAAAGTAGTTACATTCAAAGCCAAACTGGAGCTATGGAGACAACAAAAGAATATTGGGATTTCTGACATGTTCAAGCATTACTAGATATTTTGAAAGAGACTGAGCCAGGGCCTTCTTTTGCCAAACTGGTCCATGATAAGCTATCTCACCTTTCAAGAGCTGAGCATTAATTTCCAACCATAAGTGATCCCCAATTTGGGAAGGAATGATGTGCAATCAATTTGTGCATAGTCCAGGTGAATCAACTTAGTCCTTGCCGATGATATTGGTCTTAAAAGAAAGAACATTTGATGCATTGTCTAGTTTCCACACATTCTGGATTAAAATCAATGTGGAATGCCTTGAGGTTGCCTTAAAAGCATTTGAAATAGACTGGACATAAGCAACGAACTCAGGGTGTCATTCTCTCCCAACATCCCCAGAGGAACCCTTCTACTTGGAGGAACACAAACCCAGGGTCTTAGGGCTCCCACTGATTCTGCTCTACAATGTAATAATAATAAGAGAAAAAACTGTACAAAAATAAAATATTCTTGAGCCATCTTAAAAGCTTCCACCACCCCTGCTACCCAGAAAAAAACGTCTTGCATGAAATCAGTCCCTGGTACTAAAAGTTTGGGGACCACGGTCTTAGAACATGGCCAATACAGACAGCTTCTTTTAAAGCTGTTTGGTTGCACAATCTCCAGGGCAAGATCCCACTTATTTCCTGTGTGTGCTTCCGTAGTGTATGATAAGACAGATCTTTCCAAATCAATACTAATAGCACTGAAGTGTCCAGCTAAAGACTTGAAACCGTTTAAGCGGTCAACCTGATAGTCTTTCCTCTTGCTCCTTTCTGCACTCCATCGCTGGTAAGATCTTGGTTTGGTGTAGAGATGGAGTGGACAACCTTGTCATAAATTTGTAACTTCAAGACTCACAGGAATTTAATCAAAATACCCTGCACCATTCCATGATAGCAGCCAAGAGAATATTTTCCACAAAGGGAAACTTTTGTTCTATTACATTGTAGTGAGAAACTGATTAAAAACACATGGTTTGGAGGCAAATATTCTGCCTATGAGATTCCTGAAGTTTATTGATTACTTATGGATCTCATTCTGAAATCTGTTAATGAAATTGTTAGTTATTAAAACATGATATAATCTCACAATACATGATGATATATATATGTAGATAAATATGTAAAATGTCTGACAGTTGGTAAGATATCTACAGTATTTATATTTGAATGTATAACATTTTCTCTTGCAGCAAATAAAGAATTGCTGAAAATGGACATTTATTAAAGAGAGAATGCAGACATGTTTTGATCAAAAGAATGTAAAGAAAG